TCCTCTATAGTTATCACTTGCCTATTTGTTCTCAGTTGAACTGAATCCATCTTTCGTTTCAGTTAATCTTCCTTTCCAAAGGAAACATCCCTACCCATTAAGGGCAAAATAACACTCTTAAGTACTCTAAACCAGTCTTCCTTTTTACAGAGGAGGAAGCCCAAAAGAAGAGAAAAATTGTAAATTTAACACAACGCATGCCCAGCTTCAAATCAACACTGATAGGGAATATTTGGTTTCTATAATTGTTGCCAAAACTCACAAAAGCAAATTACTATCTTGTTGAATAAAATAATCCACATGCGTGCTAATAGATTATGACTATTATTCTCACACCCAAATAATATATATATATATATATATATCATACTAAACAAATTAACAACTCTATCATAAATTCTTATCATGCTGAATAATAAAATAGAGACGTGGAGTTGGGAAGAATAGGATAAGTGCTTGGTCAACTTGAAGTGGACAACAAGAAAGAAGAAAGAAAAATAAATTAATGAAATTACTATAAAAAATCAAAATATTTTAAGATTTCTAGGGGGGCCTCAGCACATGGCATTGTCCATCTCAGTAATAATAATATATGCCCCATAATAAAAATTATATAATAAAATGAGCACATTTTCTTGAAATATGTATTCTTGATGAAGTTTTCCATGTGCATATATATTTTTTTTTTAAAGTTACATAATAGAACATACTGAAAGAATTAATAGAAAAATGCAGCACGATGACTTTGCATTATTGCTTCAAAATTTAGCTTTTCTCCAACTAGAAGGGTAAAAAGTTTTATAAGGAGGTAGTGGAGTAGTTTAAATTGACTTGAATATTTTGTTTACTGATATACAATAGGGAAGAAAAGAATAGTTGAAGCAAGCAACCTACCAAGGCTTGTGCTATTTTATTCTTATTTTAAATGTACTTCATCCCCTTCACTCCATAGCTTTCTCTGCTAACCATTTCATATAGATATATGCCTATTCCGTTAGGGTTATTAACCCAACATGCAAATTGAGTCAAAATTAAATCAACTAGATGAATTTTACGTAATAATACCTCTCCCTCTCAAACAGTTTTACTGAGCTTATTACTTTGTTTGTCCTAAGTAACTAGCAGACATGAAACCCATTTGACATTTCTTCTTTCGTTCTTTCATTCTTTTAACTCCTTTCCACATGTTAATAATCAATTAGGTGAGCATTGAAAATATTTGATAGGACATCGATTGCGGCCAAAAGGGACCACCCAAAGTTTATATTTATCCATAGCTATATAATTTTAGGGCAAAAATGTTTTCTCTCTCATTTAATTCAATAAATTGCAATAATTCAAAGAGGAAGCTCCCCCGAAAGGTCCCTGGGGAGGGTTCGGGCATTCCAATCCTAGTGAGAAGATTTATGCTACTGACGAGAGAGGAGAGGAGGTGGTGAGGAAAGGGATCACAGCATGGTTGAACTTGAAAGGGAGAATGGGAGATATGGGATACAACTGTCTGTTGTGGTTGCTTGTTGGAATTAATAAATATATTATCATTTTTTTATAAAAAAAAATTCTCATTATTAAATCAGAAAAAATGATTGTCATCACAGCAAGATGAAGGTCAATGTGGTGGGATGCATGCAGATGTTCCAATATGTGCATGCAAAATGATTAGAAATATGATTACTTCTTTATATATATACAAATGAGAAAGATTATTTCTATATATATTACTTTAATGTTGCCGGTATCTATATACATAGGTAGTATTGTCTATTATGAGATTAGATCATATAGGAGAAATGTAGAGTGATGTAATTGTTTTGTGTCCAATGGATACAAGTGGAAGCTGGAAATCAACTTGATTGTGTAAAATTAAAGAATCGAAATAATTGGTACTAAACTTTATTAGAGTTTGATTGAATGAAGAGGACTACATCTTTCATTTTATAGATTTGAATTCGAAATATTCATTTAATTGCTTAGACCAAAAGTCGACCCAATCCGATTTGATCATAAGAAAGTTAATAATCCAAATGTTTTAATTTAAATTCAAATTTTTATTTGAACTGGAGGCAATTCAAGTTCAAAATTACTAGAATCATCCAAAACAAAATCAAAACAGTTAAACTCACAATTACAATTAAATATAATTTTTCTTTTTAAATTCTAATTTGATTAAACTATAATAAATATAACGCAAAACTATCAGTCTATTAATAATTTAACTTAAGGATAATAAAAATATAAAATCTCTTTTCCTTTGCTCTTGTATGTCTAATTTCTATATAAATTGTTTGGATCGAATACAAGATCTTTTTTCTATGTTTAAAAGAGTAAAAAGAAAACAATTTTTTATATTATTATAATTAATTCTCTATTACTACATTTTATACATCATAGATTAAATATTTCATTCAAATCAAATAAAATAATACGAAATAATTATAATAAATAAATATAATAAATCTTAAACTGTATTGCATGAGTAAAAATTATTAGTGATTTTAAAATTTCAAATGATCTTGTTACTTAACTGTAATTTTTGATGAATTTAATTAGTTGATAAAATTTGATTTGATTATACAATATATTAAAATCTAATTTTATTTAATTTTAAAAATACAATATAAACTCAAATAACACTTTTAAAAAAATTAATATACAAAATTCAAATAATTTGAATTTAAAATAAATTTAAATTCAAAACAATCAAAATCTAAAACGACTCGAATGTCAAAGATCTAAAGTAACCTACCTCCAAAGTTAAATCAAATGAGCTAAAAAAACAAAGAAATCTTTTTTGAAAGGAAAAAAAAAAAGAATTAGGTGCACCATGACCATGGAAGGGATGGGGAAGGTGAGGCACGTGGTACTGTAACGAGCAATGAAGAGTAGTAGCACGTGATTTATTGTTTGTGTTAAAAAAATAAAAAAAAAAGGTCATGAGGGTGGCGCTCAATCATTGGATATGGTACAAATATAACACGTGTGAGCTGTGATGATCTGGTTTTCACAGCTTAGTGACGCCTGCTGTTGTACTGTACAATGCTCCGCCTCCGCCCTTCATAGCATTAACGAAAATAAAATGTGAATAAATTTTCTTTCATGAAAAATATTTATGTTTAAATTATTATTGAATAGTAGTTATTTGTTTTCTTAGTCAAATAGTGTGATTTTATTGATGAAATAATTAAGAAATAAATTTCTTCAGTGATATTAGAAAACTACATGAATGAGCTACAATTTTCAGTTAATTATGGTGCATACAATTTAAAAGATTTACAAATTATCTATAAGTATAATATATAAATATATATGTAAAGCACAAATACGTGTAATACTTTAATAGACAAGAAAAATATCATCATTTATTATTTTTTAAAATTACCATTGCAAATAAATGTCAACTATAATTTTTAATTTTGAATAAGCACCACTAGTTTAAATTCAAGGAAAAAAAACACCATAGATAAGAGTAATTGTAGGATGACAATTGTCACTTTCAATATTAAAAAATATCTTGGATAACTTTTTTAATATCTGTGCTTATATATATACAAGTGTCTGTTTTGACTTTAAAATATTAAATATTATTTAAATCTTCTTAGCTGCTATGAGAAAATTGACATTGGGTCAAAAAATTTAATGATAACTATTACTTCCTAAAGTAGTAATCATTAATTTTCTTTTAAGTAGTAAACTTGTAATTAACAATTTTACTTGGTTACCCCTCAAAACAAAGGGTTGCTGTTTACCATAATTTTGGTCGGACTTCTTAGAGGAGAGGGTTTAAATGCTATTCATTGAAAGTCCTCCATCTCATGACTAATGCTTTGGTACGTTGAAAATATGTTATACAAATTGCTAACCTTTTCCAACAATATTTTGTTTCAAGTATAGAAACCAACTATATAGAGATTTTGTATTTAAATATTTAGTTTAGTGGTTGGTATATGATCTTTCTGTTAAAAGAATAAAATTTAATTTTTTTTAAATTTTTAAAAAATAAAAACTATTTAAAAATATTACATTAAAGTATTTGATTCATTAATTAATATATAATTTTATTATTAAAAAGTATAATTTGAATCTCCTTTCTTTTAATTTAAAAAAAAATTTATGTAAAGATGTCAACATTTTACATTGAAGTTTATAAAAACTTCTATAAAATAATTTAAAATTAAAGCAATTATACAATGGAACAACTATGAAGAGATTACAAAATGTCTGTAAAAATAGAGGTTCCTCTTATCAGAATTATACATTCCATTTTAATTTTTACAAAACGTTAAAATTTTTTTTACTTTAATGTATTTAATGTTAATTTTTACAAAGTTTTTTGTAAAATTTATATTTTTTATTTTTAATGATAAAAAGTAAAAAATTTTGAAAAGTAAATTTAAACATAAGAATTTCAGATGTTCAAGAAAAGGAAAGATATAATTTAAAACATTAAAAAAAAGATGAAAAAGAAATTGAAATGGAGAGAGTAGTGGGGTTTTTGCCTAAGAAAACACACACGTACATAAAATTAATTTATATGCAATAACTAAGGCTACGTGTCAAAACATTTGTGATTTGTGTTAAAAGCCTAAAAACGGTACAGGTGTCCACCAGTTTTCTTTACGCACACCCCACCCTTGGTATTAAAAAGAAACAATAAAAAAGCGGTGATTAGTGCGCAGTTATTATCCGATTAATTGGCCACCAATAATGATTTAGAAATTAAAATCGGCAACGCTGTTGCAGTTAAGTTACGAGGAGACAAAAATTTCGTCACGTGTCAATCCGTCAGACCAAAGACAATACACATGTGCTGCCAACACCGACAGGTGGTGCCCGGAAATTAAAGCCTCAAAGCACGTGTTGAGTTACTGGCTTATCCGGTGACCGTACCGGATATTTCCGGTAATTTCCACACTTGTGTTTAGAAAAAAGGGTTTTTATTTTAATCTTAAAAAAGGAGAATTAACGGTCAAGATCTTGTATAAAACAACACCCTTTCTGTGCCTTCAATTTCCTGTGGTTGGGAAGCTGTTGTTTTTGGCTTTGGCTTTGGCTTTGGCTTCTTTTTCTTTTTCATGTTTGGTGGAGAAGGTAGAAGAGAAGACGGGATTTGAGGAAGTGGGTTTTTGGTTGGGTTTTGGAGGTGGGTTTTGCTTGAATTTTGCAATAAGAGAGTGAAAGAAAAATGGAGAGAGATTTTATGGGTTTGAACTTAAAAGAATCATTGGTTGTGGTTAAGGAAGAGGTTAACGGTGAGGGGTACAAAGAAATTGGTGTGTATCTTCTTCTTCTTCTCTCTCTCTTTTTTCTTTTTCTCTTAAGTTCTTTGAAATTCAGTTTTTTTTTTTCTTTAGGTTGTTGGAGATATTTTTTGTTTGTTCTAAAATTTGGCTTAATGTTGAATTTGGATTTTTCTTTTTTTGTTTTTCTTTGTGTTGCATGGATGATGGAATTAAGATATCTAAGTAGAACAAATAGAAGGGATTAAATGAATGGATATTTGGTATAAAAAGTGTTAGTTTAATTCAATTTGCTTCTTTTCTTTCTTGGGATAATTCAGATAATGGTCCAATTCTTATCACTGTGCTATGAAAACAAGTTTTTTTTTTCTTGTTATAATTTTATTACAGGATTGGAATCATGTGAGCAATTATATGATTGGCGCATAAAAAACGATGGATAACTATTATTTTTTGGTTCATGGTGATTGTTAATAGATAACTTTGTTTTATTCGGACATTGCTTGCAATTAAGGATGTAAAATTATTTTGTTATGAAAGTTGTGCCTGTTTATGTTATCTTTAAATATATATAGCTTTGCATGTATCTAATTTTTGTCACTTTTATTTGAGATTTTAGGTTTTTCTAAACGCTCAGGGATACAATGGCCATTTTCAAACAAAGTTTCTGCTGTTCCACAGCTGATGAATTTTAATTTTGCTCAAGGAGATAAAGTTAAAAAGATTGGATCTGATTCTCTGGTATCCCCTGGGTTCATGCGTATCTCAGCAGCAGATGCTGCTGAAGTTCAGGTTTGATATCATCCCTGGTCTTTATATTGTGGATTAGTTGCTTGATGACCATTTCAATTGAGTCTTAAGTTGAGAGCTTTCTAGTGCCTTTTTCTTTTTCCAAAAAAAAAAAGAAAGAAAAATACTTTTTGGCTTAATAAAATTATGGGAGGAACGAACCCTTTTTAGGCATTGCTTTATGCAGATTGATCTGCACCTTAACTTGCGTGGTTATTTGGAAAGCTTCTTATTTAATTCGTTGGCAATGTCTCCAACTCTATGTAAATTGTCAACTGATATTTATTACCATTGATCTTTACCATCTAGAAATCGTTCAATCACAATAGGCAAGGTGGCAGTCATTTTTCATTGCCAGCTTGTTCTCTGCAACATGATCTACATCCTGTTCAATGTCCTTATGATGTGAAGATGTTTCCAGTCTCAAACCAGGCAGTTTCTGTTTCTGTGAGCAACCCTTTCATGAAGAATCAATTTGCAACTGCTGGTCTAAATTTGCCTGTTACTTCCATGAAGCCACAATTACTTGGAGGAATTCCAGTGACTACTCCACATTCAATTCTTCCCACCCTTGGTTCTGTTGTTGGAAGTATTGAACCGTGGTAAATTTAATGATTTTATTCTTGCTTTCACTTGCTTTAGCAAAATCTTGACATTAAGATATTGAAACCTGGTTGGAATTTTGTTTTTAATTAGGAAAAGTGTCAAGGCCTCTGGATCGCCTGCTCAATTGACTATCTTTTATGCGGGTACGGTGAATGTCTACGAAGATATCACCCCTGAGAAGGTGGTTCTCTTTCTTTCTCTTTCAGGAAAAAGGCTTTTGCTAGTTACAATCTATCGGTCAGTGGAAAGCTTAGACGTTACTTTTTTTTGCATCTTATTCAGGCTCAGGCTATCATGTACTTGGCTCAAAATGGATCTTCCGTGGCTTCTAGTGTGGCACACCCGAAACTGCAAGTCCAGACACCTATTTCAAAGCCAGTTCAAGTTGATAGTGTTCCTGCAAACCAGCTCATAAACACACAACTGAGCTCTGGTCTCTCAAGCCCTTTATCTGTTTCATCTCATAATGGTGCTCAGTCCAGGAGTGGGTCCACTACCACTGATGAACTGACGGTATGCAAAAGCACAGGAACTCCAACAACCCCTATTAGCAAAATGGAGCCTCCAAAAATGGTGAATACCAAGGGATCTGTTGCTGCAACCAGCATGATGCCTTCTGGTATGTCCTTATGCTCTTAAAAGACTTCTGTTCGTTGTTTTGTCTTTAAAGAAACAGTTCTGACCTTGATGAAACTAAACTATTTCTGACCATTTAGTTAAACATGCATATGCCAGATATTACAGAATAACTAAGGAGGCTTAACCATAAGCATGCCCTTTTTTTAGCCAAATTTACTATTTGGAACATGACTCATCAATGAATTTCAATTATAAATGACTCCAAATTGTTTGTTTGCAGTTCCACAAGCTCGCAAAGCTTCCTTGGCTCGGTTTTTGGAGAAGCGCAAGGAAAGGTTAGTTGTTGAACCAGTTATTTTTGTACTTTGATCCTAAATATGGTTCTTGAAACTCTTTCAAACTACTAGTGGACTATGTTTAGCTCATATCATAGTTGAAAGTCAAAAGTCGCAAAATAGATAGAATACAATATATTATTCCTTTACTTTGGTGTTTAAATGCCATTGCATGCTTGAATATGGTTGAAGACTGTATCCATGTTATTTGTTGGGTAACTGGCTTGAGGTTTAAGGCATGTTGATAGGCTACTTTACTCTGTTATTAAGTTATTGGCCATATCTGCCTGCTTTGCTGGGGATTTGATTTTGATGCTTATGAGCACATTTGGTGTGATACACCATTTGTGTAAAGAGGGACAACGGAGAGAGAGGGACTAAGGGAGAGAATTCAGGGAACCATGAAAAAGGCCTGTCCTTTTTCAAAATCTCTCAAGGGAATTTGAGGTTAAAGAATTTAGCTTGGGATTTGTTCTGTGCCTAGAAATTATTGCTATATTAATTGGACATGTAATTCTGCTTATATACAATCATAATCCTCAAAATCGGCTGCCTTTGATAATTAAGTTTATATGTAAGGTTAATGTTGTCAATAAAAGTTGGACCTCTGATCCCATGTTGTCAATTTTTGCCCTTGTAGGGTTATGAGTGCAGCGCCATACAATCTAAGCAAGAAGTCTCTAGATTGTGCTACCCTGGAATCCAATGCATGAACTTTGCGGCAATCTCAGCGGCAGGGGTTGATCACTTTCAGCAAGCGAGGAGGGTAACCGTGATTTATGATTTGCCATTAGAAGGAAACTTAAGCAAGTCTATGTAGTGTGTCAAATATGTAAGCAACTGGTTTTTTGTTTTATCTAATTAAAAGAACTGTAATCCTGACTCTGCTTGAATTCCATCAACTAAGATTATTGTGTAGTTGGTGTAGGGTTATACCCTTTTTGTTTTCTTTATATTAATGTAGACGATTTGCTACTTTGTAACCATTCAGTTGTTGTTACATGGTAGAAATAATACAATATATAGTAAGATTTTTGTATTTCGTCCCATGTTAGTTCTGAATCAATCATGTAAGCTTTGTTTGTTTGCTTGCTTTATTTGGATTGCATTTTCATAACTAAACGATATTTCTGCACGTTTGGATATGAAACTAGTGTTCCATGTCAGGGTTTGGTTTGGGGTTCTTTTAGGGTTTGGTTTTGGAACAAAATCATGCCCCATGTGAGTTGTCAAACTTGCATCAAAAACAAACTCAAGGGTGAAGATGGTGTAATCAGGGTTGGTTGGCTGGTCTAAGTCTGTCCAACTCCTGAATACTTCATTTTCTTTTTTTTAAATTTTGAAGTTACCTTAGTTTCCGTTTGTAGCCAGGCTAATAATCTCTTACTGACCAGTTCCAATATGTGGTCCATTTGTAGCTAGAATTATAGCATAGAAAGAGATCTGGTATAGCATGTAGTGTCCCGAAGCAAACGAAAAGCACAAATCAATGATTATCATCTTTAGTAGGAACCAGCAATTAACACCTGCCATTCCCATCCAGGATAAGATTCTCTTTAATGCACGATTATGACACTAAGCTATTCATTTTGTGGGCAATTTTGATGATTAAGGGCTTCAAAAGATACCATAAATGGTGATAAATATGGGCAAGTTTAAATCCAAAGAAAGGGAACTCACATCTTGAATTGACAAGTGGAATACAAAAATACTGATGCGCCTACCAAATGTTATTAACAAAAAGGAAAGAGATGATGAATATGGCAGACAAGAACAGATTAGAAAATGGGGGGTCTTAATATGGCACACACAAGTTTCACGTGCCCACAAGAGTAATATCAAGTAGATGAGCGGTGGTCCTTCCTCTGGCAAAGCCAAGGCAGCATCTGCTTGCATGGCCATTCAATTCCAAATAAAAATCCAATCCCCCTCTGCTCTTTAGCTTGCCCTACTCACCCTTTGACACACTCCAAACTTCATTTCTCTTCTCTCTTGTCATCCATTGATTGGAGGTAAAGGCTTTTTGGCGGTTTCAGAAACCTCCAAACAACAGAAAACCAATCGTGTTGGCAAGCTGTTAACATCAGTCACGTTTTCAATGAATTTTTTCTTTTTTGTTTCGGGTGAGAAGGCCCATGGGCCCACTGGGGCCCCACAGCAAGTTGTGGTGAACATTACATTAACGTACGATTTTCGTCAAACCTCTGAGCCAATAAGAGAAAAGAGTTTATTTCGGTTTTGTTTATACATTGGTGTCTGCCTTTCGTCTCCAGTTGTCGAGTCCTTTTCTTGAGAAGTTGTGACAAATGCAAAGCTGTTGAAGAGGAAATTGATAAATTTTTTTTCTTTTTCTTTTTTTTTTTGCCATTTTTTGTTCCTCACTCGCACTGTTACTTTGATTTTTCTTTTTTTTTTGATTTAATGTTTTTCGTCTTTTCATTTCAATAATGTCTCAACTTGGCCTCTTTTTGATCACTTGCACCTTTTTAATTGAATGTGAATTGATTAGTTAGGTATGTTGTTCATGAATTGTCCTTTTCACCAAATAATACGGAGACCTATAAACCCTTGCTTCTCTTCTTGTTTCAAAACTTTTGAAGTAAATTATATCAATAATTCGTAATCATGTGCATCTACAATTTATATAATAAATTTCATGAATATTTGAACAACATGTCATAGCTATAAAACCAAAATTACGAAATCGTGGATAAAAAGAAAATTAAATTTTTTAAATCATAAATAATTCAAAGCCTAATAATACAACTTACTTAACTGAGAATATGATATTTAATGACAAGCTTTTGACAAAAAGGTAGAAGAATGTTTACAAACTAACATAGTTAGCAGCTGTAGCGAGTGACACCTAGAGATAATTATGATGGCTTGTCACTCCTAATCTTATTCATTTTTCTTCAAAGAAAAAATTAAAAGATAAAGCAAACCCAGTCGATTAAGCAATGCAAATTTCTTCATGACATCACCAGGCAACAACACACTTTTCTCAATTCCAAAAATATCACAACCATATGCTTAAACCTTATCTGTTAACATTGAGAAACTTGGACTTAGTGTGTTTTTTAAAAGTGAAAACACGTGTCTAATGACATTTGGGAAAGTGTAGATTGATGAGTCCAAATATCCTCAACAACGATTGTTTCTGGGGGCATATAATTGAGGAGTCAATTTTCCCTTCTTTATGTTTCAGGACCCAATTGGTGCTGAAAAGGAATTGTAGGGTCAATCATTGGGCCAGTTTTACTGCAACTGGCAACTCGGCATTTCGCCATCTGCCAGGCAGTCCTTGCTTTTTGCTTTGCTACAATTTAAGAAACTTTCATTGGATAATTTTCCATGCCCATCTATGGAATTGAGTTGTTAAAATATTCTTAATGTCCACATGTGACTTCAATTTAAAGTTGTTCAATTTTTAAAATTTTACTACCGATTTATAAGATAACAATTTTTATTAAAATTAGTAGGAAAATAAAGTAAAAAATGAATAGCAACCATGTCATACGGAAAGGGCTCAATTCTAGTTAAGATCAAAAAACCATGCACTATTTTTGGACCAAAGTCCTTACCAGCGTTTCACGATGTTGTATGTTCCTGGTTCCAACTGTGCCTAGGGGCAAGCATGTATGCCTACAGTTGTTGCGACCACTAATGGTATATTCACATATTCTCTATAATTAGAGAGGTAATCCTGCAAGACATTACTTCCACGAGGCCATAGCGTTTATACAAATTTATATGCTACTTGTATCTAAAACTCTGCCACTGATTTACTACAAATTCACATTTCAGTATATACTTGGTTTTCTCTACATTAGTACAATCACCCGATAATGCTACTGATGGTCAAATCTTTTGGTCAAGCCCCTGGGAATCATATTGCTCGTTTTCTTGTTTACTGATGTTGGTTGTTTTCAGCTCCATTTCACAAAATAATGCCCTAACCACTGTGAATCAAGATGCTAAGCACTTTGGTTCTGTGTTGCCACCAGATGGCTGCAAACTGCAGCAGAATTGATGGGAAGAACCCAACTGAAGTACAAACTTTCTTTGGTGACAAAATTGTGGCTCGAACTCTGGGCGACCAATTGTCAGGAGGGATTCTGAACTAACTTTGGATGGGTAGCAGCATATATTGAAGAGTTTATATCAGTTTTTAAGTGGGATAGAAGATGCTGTACATCTGGGCGTAGACTTTCAGCAGCTCTCCCGCAAAGAGCCAATACTTCTGGCCTAGGCTTGCTGCTAGCCTGCACAGGCCCTCCCTGTCCTTCATAGTGGATCACATGATGACTGAAACATGAACAACTCGCATGTAAGTACTTTACGGCAAAGATAAAAGTAAAGATCAAACCTTCTACCAAGGTTGAAAGAAAAAAAAACTAATACTTACAGGTAGTCAATGAGATCCGTTATTTCTGATGCATCCACAGGAACTGGTGGCTGACAGTTTTTCCCAAATACATCCACCAGTATATTTAAAAGTAATGACAGAATCTGAAAGACAATTCATGAAAATAAAGCATAAGAAACCAAATCACGCATTGTTAAATTTTAACCTGGAAAAACAATGGACTTGCTACACTTATTGTAGAGAAATTGAAATGTCTAAAAAATGTGTCTCCAATAAAATCATAAGGAAGACATCCAATCATCTCCATCAAATTAATTATTTTAACATAATTACAAACATAGGGCATTACACCTTTTTTTCCATTGTTATTAAGGGAATACTCTCAAATAGCAGAATTTGATGGTAAATCTTGTCGCTGAAACAGTTTAGATATGAATTGGTGACCTGACCACAATTTCAGCCAAGGTTTCCATTTCATTTCTTTTCTACTAAAGATTCTATACAAACTCTAATACTATATACCAAGCATGCCAACATCCTATTGCTGTTTTGTTTAGAACATAAGCCTTTTGCTGAATCATCAATGATTTGTTATATCACCAAAAAGAACCTCACAATGGTTGATGTCCAACTCCCAACACTGTAATATCATGTAGACTTAGGGTTCTAAGACCTTGAGTTTTCAAAATTAATATTTTGCACCTGTCTGTGTGTGCTTCTTTCTCCAATACACTCCCATTCCACATTCTATATACTTTTTGTTTTCAGATTAATATCTGTCAAACATGCCACAACTCTAACTGCCATCCAATAAGATAAAATAATTGTCATTTGTAAGGTAGAGATGGAACCAATTGAAGTGTTCTGTTTTTTTTAAGAGAAGAAACAACTTCAATTGTTTGGACATGAAACATAACACCTAATAATGCACCAGAGTGAAGGACAAGTAGACATGAAACAGTAGATGCAATGAAACAGTGAAGGGCAAGTAGCACCAAAGTTTGCTAACTTTGAATATCCAAAGTGGAAGCCATACTATATGATGAAGTGATGGTACTTTTTATGTTCAAGATAAAACCTCCACAACCAAAAGTTTGTTCAATCTCAGGTGAGTAATACAGAAGAAAAATTAAAACAACAAAATAAAGCTGCCAGTAAAACAGAAACCTAAGTCATTTAGAGAAAAACATTCAAAAAGATGCACAAAATTGACTTTTATACCTTGTTGAAAAGATTATGAGCATTGGCAAGTCTTGGCAGTAAGGGGCCCATTATACGGAATGCTATTCTCAACATAGCAACTGATGTTACTGGCCTGAGATGTTTAATAATGACGTGGGTTCCCTCTAGCCATTCTTGTGGCAGGTTACTGAAGAAAGCATGAAGCAGGGCAACTATATTACCTGGACACAACAATAGGATAATCACATCAGAGTGCAATTCAGCATCAAATGATATGTCACCGTATTGACACTGGCACTTTTTGTTTAACTGTCCATGAAGCTGGAATAAAGTAGAGATCTCATGATAAGACATCTAGATGTCTAAAATATAAAATTATTGACAATGAAAAGCTGAGGGAGCACAATAGATGAATGTGACTATCATCTGTTTCAACTCCACTAGGGATGATAATATTTTATTTTCTTATTTGTTAAATGTTTATGTTTTGA